GATTCCAATCATAGAGCTTGAATGAGATCCTACCAGTTGGGCACTACAATTCAATAAATAATATATCAAATTATCACATAAAAATTAGTTTTTTTTATATATATATTTATAAAGAACCTACCACAGAAGAAAAGGCACTCTTGTCATCACAATAAGATGGAGAATGGTTGCCTCTTTCTTTCTCTTCATCTGTTTGAGTTTCACCAGATACAGCTAGAGATGGGATGCTATCACTGTGGATGATTTGGGCATTAGTGGGGCCCAGTAAGGAATTATGAACTCCAGGTGCTATTAATGATTTCTCTTCTCCTGCTGCTTCACTAGTTGTACATTTGGTTGCTACACCATAAAAATTACTTCAGTAATCCAAAAAGAATTAACACATGGGATATCATATCATTATCATATGATGTTCTTAGTGTCAACCACCTTTTCCAGCTTCATCATAAGCATCATCATAATCTGCTGATTGAAGTGCAGATGACTTGGAGTCTGATGGTTTTCTTCTACGCCTGTTATTGTGGCGTTCTAATTTTCTTCTGCAACTACGTTTGCCTTCATCAAAATCTGATAGGATATGAAACCTACATACAACATGCTCAGTTTGTCAACATATACTTATGGTACTTGAAATCAAGATATCATGGAAAGATAGTTATCCTACAGAATTTACAAGTTCTGGTAATATCATAATCTAAAGAGAATTAGCTCTCATATTAATCTTATATATTGACAGACATCAGGATCAATATTGTATTAGTTCCAATGAAGCATCTCTATTTCCTTAAATCAAAGAACATATAAGTAGAATCTACAGAAGAGAGCCCATTTAGCATGCTACTGAGGATAAGATCAATGTCAATCTTGACTTACAATTATTTCCTGTACAAGAAAGATTATATTGTTCTTGTTATAGAATTTTTAAGGTGGTTGCTCAGCTAAGTTTCCAATACCGAAATGCCTATTACAAAACTCACCTCATTCCTGCAGTAAAAAATTCTGAATTGCCAAATACACATGAAGTTGTATAACCTTCTATATTTTGGTCCATATGAATGAATAAATGATAATGAACATTTGATTGGAAGCCTTGAAATGATCGTAGAACTTACTTCCCACACTGCTGGCAGTATCTCTTATTAAGGCCATCAAGCACCACAGTAGTAGCAGTAGCACATCGGAGACAAACCCTGTGTCTTTTGTGATATCCTTTGAGCTCACTGATATCCACCTCACAAGAAGGAACCTGACATCTGGAACTTGACGCCGTTCTCGCCGTCGTTGACCTGGACTTTTTCTTTCCAGGAGCGGCCTCTTCTTCCTCCGCCACCAGCAGCGCGTCAAGCTCTGGACAGGCGCAAGGGATGCGACCCGCCAGAAAATTGGAGCATGCCATCCTTGGATCCCGTTTCCGAACCCTATCGTTAGTATTAGAAGTCGAATTGACCGGAAACGAGTCGGGTACCGGCTCTACCTGAGGATTGTCAATCGGATAGAGCTCCTGAGATGTTGGAATCGCGGATGAGTGGTTGGATTCTTCTCCGGGTAAGGGTAAGTGATCGTCAATGTTGAAATCCAGGAACTGACTCCAGTCCCAAATCAAAGTTGACGACTCGTCGATCGAGTCCATGTTCAAAGACGGTGGTTGTTGAGGTGGTGAGGGTGGGGATGGTGAGGACGGTGGAGGGGGATTATGCATTTGATTGTAATTATTGGGGGAAAAGACCTAAGTTGGTGATGGTTGGTGGCGGTTGGTGGCGGCAGTTGGGTGGTTGATTAGCGGGGAAGAGAATGATTTTGAGGTGAAAAGAAAGACCTTAACACCTACGCCTCCTCCTTAGAGTCAGCGTTCTGTGATGGACGTGGTGGGCCATGGCTGGAGATATGTCGTCATCAGTAGAAAACTAGAACCGCAGACTTGCTAGGGCAAATCCATTATGCACCTATTCGATGCCAACAAGGGTCACTCTTCCGCATCTACCGAGTACACTAGAAGCTTGAAGATTCGGTCCTATGCATGAAAAGGAAAGGGAAGGTATATAAAGATTTGCAATTTTGCATCAATTGTATTTATTGTGAAAAAGAAGCATTCACTCCCGATGAGCGATACTCCTTTTAATTAGTTTCAAAAGTAAATCTCGTATATCCCATCTATTATATGGTTATTGTCGGTTAAAATGTGAATTCTCTCATGTGGCTATTGTGAGTTACAATGACAATTCTCTTAAAAACTCAATCCTAACCTATGTTACCTATGTAGAATTTCGTATTACGGTTTTTGGGAAGTGCTCGATGATGTAGTCCCTAATACACTAATGCTAGAGACCGAACTCATATACATTGCCCGATATACCTAAAAGACAAAGGCACCCAATGCATTCAACGTCTCATAATTTTTCTTAAGGGTCTGATCCGAAGTTCCATAAAATCATATTATCTCATTGTTCTGGCAAAAGCTAGCCAATTGACAACTTTGGCACTCGTTCCTTTTGTCTTTATATAACAACTATGAAGGCTCTCACTCTACCGCATACTAGGCATAAGGTATGTGAACATAAACCCTAATATCATCTTCTATATTATTGTACTTTTTTTTTTGGCAAAAGTTGGACAATTAGCAACTTTGGTATTCGTTACTTTTGTCCACATCTAGCAACTATAAATACGAAACCCCATAAAAAATCTTCATTAAATATGTTTTATCCTAAACCTTTTTTATATTATCGTTACTTCTTTTCTGGTAGAAGTTAGAAAACATGCCACTTTGGTATTTGTTCCTTTTGGTCTCATCTAACAAATATAAATACAAATCCCTATTTTATGCACATGGTAGAACAAAAATTCTAACATCTTGTTCTCTGTACCTTTTATCTTGAAACCTTTACTAACCTTAACATCATAATATTTTCTTGTGATACCTCTAATTCTTTTCCTGCGGTATCAAGCGTTTGAAAATATGTCCCTCCATAGAAGGTAGAGGGTTCAAGTCCCGTAGTGGATAAAGATGTAGTTTAGGAGTTTGATTTAATAAGTATGTGTTAGTCGTTCTAAAAAAAAGTCTATATTCCCTCAAATAGATATGTTAGCATCAACGTTAGTGCCTTGGTTATACATGATTAAAGCTTCCTTTATTGAGAAATTAGACACATCACGATTGGCACCGTATACGAGCTTGATTGCAAAGGCCCTCACATGAAAATAATCATTGCAAGCAATCACATTCACATCTCCTTCCTCATGGCTTCCACTAGGGATGTTATTCGGGTTGGAACTGGATCGAGCCGATCCAAACCCGAATAACCCGAAAGCTGAATAAGGGCAATTGCATGAAACGCAAACCGAACCGATTAACCAATACATGTTCGGTTAGGTTCGGGTATTAATCGGTTCGGGTATTAATCGGTTCGGTTCAGTTATTACCTGAATAACCCGAATAACATGTACAATATGATTAAAGACCTAATATAACCGAAAAAAAACTGAATAAACCGTATTAGGGTTTTATAACTCGAATAATAGAATAACAATGTACATTTATACATTAATGTAAAACATTCAAAGACTAACATAACACAATAACAGATTGAAATAAATAGCATTTATATAGTAGATTAATATAATAAGAATTAATTTCTTACTTGAGTTTCATGAGTTTGAGCCTAATTTTTCATGACCAGAAAAAGTAGAAATTCATGAATCATTAGAGAAAATAGGAAGGGTCGATTTTTGAAAGTCTGAAACAAGAGGAATGATTGACAAAAGTGATTTGGAGTTTGGAAATAGTTGAGAAGATTGGTCGATTTTGAAACGATGAGAACGAGTGTAGGGTTTTTTTTCCCATGTTATGAACGACGATGACAGAAGTATGAATCGTGATTTTGATTTCTGTCAAGAAGAGAAATGGGATGAGGAATGCGTATTCATGTAGAGTATTTAGAACCAAATAAACCATTATTTGGGTAATCCGAACCGAATAACCCGAAAACCAAATAAATATAATATAGATACCCGAAACTCGATTCGAATAGCTTACTCGAGCCCAATTCGGTTCGGCTCGAGTTTCCAGACCAAATTCTCATACCTAACTTTCACCGAAACATTAACAAAAGTTTTTGGGACTAAGATTGCAAAAGTTATTTAAACTTCGAGACATTTTTGTAGTATACTCAAATTTAAATTACACTTTCATGGTTTCCGTCACCAGTCTACTGCCACCCCCATCTTCCTCCTAATCGACGTTCGCGTCATAACTCTCTCCCCACTCTCGGTTTCTGGAGGGAAATAGCCACGGCAAAACCATCTTCGTCTTCTATTGGTAAATTTTTCTTGATTCGATTGGATTTGATCTCTCTATATCTTCATGTCAACGAACCACTATCTGTACAAGTGACATATCGCAGCCAACAGAATCTTAATTAGGTTTTTAATTAGTTTGTTTATACCCCTTTTTTATTTTCCTGTTTCAATTCCGTTTGTCACAGTGATGACGAAACCCTAATCGATATGTGTTTTTGTTGCATTTATTGGAGAATTTGTTTCATCATAAAACCTAAAAATTTTATTTTGGTTTCATAAATATGTGTTTAGGGCCGGCCTGCACGCCAGATAATTGAAGCTGAAGAAGACGAGGAGTCTGAATTGAAGTTAAAGCCGAAGAAGACGAGGCGTCTGATGCCCTGGGTTCTGGAGAAGACGATTCAAACAAGTATTCGTTGATTGCAAATCTTAATCAAACATACGGTTCTCTCACTCTCAGGTTACGAAAGTTCTTGATCCTCCTAATTTTCTTCTTTCCGAAAATCTCAACTGTTGAAGTGAAGTTTTCCATCAGTAGTGCCATTACTCAAAAGATAAGAGATTTTTGTGCCATTTGGTTTGGCGATTTAAGGAATGACTATAGGAATCGAAACTTGCTTTGAGCTTCAACATTTGAATCGGACATCTTATTAGCTTTAGGTGAGCTTAATTTTTGGATTCATTGATGCGACATAGGAAGAAGAATGGTGATGTTTTGGTGTCGGACTAAACAATCACAGCTCAGAGCTTTATCAAATCAGTTCAAACGATGCTACTTTCAGATTCATGGGTCCTCTTCAATCATCAGAGGAACTACAGTTGGTGTTCTCAAGGGTCCAAATTCATCCTTTCACAGAACTGGATCTGAGTTTAACAACTGTGTGAGATTCTTTGCTGCACCTGTTCAGGTATTCACTCCCCTATAATCTTACATATGTGATTTATTCCAAGATTTACGCTGTAGAACACATTATAATATTGATTTAATCCTTTGAATCAACTAAAAGTCCAAATCAATTGACAACTTCATCAAAACTAACTACAACATAGACTTTTCTGTTTGTTGATTGGGAGATCTGTATTGAAATGGTTTTTTAGGTCAAACCAAAATATGATGAGAAGGATAAGGGGCGTCCTCGAATGAATGAACAAATATCTGCTCAGTATGTTAGAATTGTGACAGATGAAGGTATGTCTACTACTTATTCATGTACTTCATACAACTTTCAGAATGTAAAAAGATTAGAATTCATTTTAAAGGTCATATCATTTTACTTTATATTTCTATTATTTATTTTATAATCTTTAGCATAATGCTAAATTTACAGGACATGGTGTTGTGTCAAGGCATGAAGCATTGGAACGTGCAAGGAGACTGAATGTTGATTTAGTTGAGGTATAAATTATAATAAGTAATAACTGTTATATGACGTTAAAAAAATATTATTTTTAAAACATTTTGGATGTTATATATTTATGTGTATTTTTTTTTTTTTAGGTTCAACCAGATGGTAAACCACCTGTTTGCAAACTCATGGACTATAACAGGGAAATGTACTTAAGACAAGCAAAGGAAAAAGAACAAACAAAAAAGAAGGTAACTGCTTCCCCTATTTACAACACTGCCATTGTCAATATATTGCTTTTCTTGTTTCTAACTTTTTATTTTTTTATTTTTTTTTTTGCAGTCTGACTTGGTTTTGCGTAAAGGAGGCTTGAAAGAAGTTCGAATTACTTGTAAAATTGTAAGTTCCTTCCTTTCCTTAGATTCTCTTCTCCTTGAATACGGAAACTGAAGTGATTTTGTTTTTGTAGGATAAAAATGATTTGCAAACAAAAGCAGATGCAGTTAAGCGATTAGCTGAACGTGGTCATCGAATCAAGGTATCTAATTTAGTAATTATATTATATCAATTACCAAATGTTGATAAAATTTTATAAAAATATTCATTGTTTATGTTTTTGTTATCCAGTGTATGGCAGTGGGTACTGAAGATCAGGATTTGGGAGGATTGCTATCACGACTTTCTGCTCTGGTATGCACATTTTCATATTTTTTCCCATTAATTGAAATTGATTTTTAAAAAAGGAATAAGTAAATTGTTTTATTTTGGCAGATTGATGATTTTTCTCTAGTGGAAAGCGGCCCTAGAGTGGAGTCAAAACAAGCATACGTTGTTGTTCGGCATGTCAAATTTGGGCCATTGAAGAAAGGTCCAGGCAAAAAGAAGCTTTTAGCAACATCAAACACCGAAACACCAGAGCAAAACGAATCTGGTTCAGAAACCGAGGATGATACACTTTCTCAAGACCCAATTGAATCAGTCGATGATTTTGAAAACAAAAATTATGATGACACCATGAAGTTTGCACCAGAAACATCATCAAATAGGTATGCATCTGCCACAAGGTCAGCAAATGTAAATGTTCCGGAAAATAGGTATGCAGCACCTGGTGGTGTAAGGAGACAGTTTGAACCAGAAAGTGGCGGCAACCGGCGGCAGGGTGTAAATCAACCTGAGGCCGCCAGTAGACCGGTGGAGGTAAATAGGTACAAGAAAGGACCAACCCCACCACCACCAGATTATCAGATGAACAGGGGTCCACGAGGTGATTTTAGGGAGAAACAAGCTGGTTTTAGAAGATAAATATACAAGAGGATCAATTTTAACACAGTTTTGTAGGAGAAACCTTGAAGATGGATCATTCTGAAATTATTTTTATAAAATGCAGCCCTGGCTGCTATTTAATATATTGTATTGTTGTAAAATGGGATTGAATTGGATTTGATTTATATAAAAAAAATGAATGGTAATTTCTCAAACATAATAAAAGGAAACAGGGATTTCAACAGCAATAAATATGAAAGTACAATGGCTCTGAATGTGGTAGTAGTTTATTATGAAGTTAGAAATTACACGAATTTCAATAATAATCGACGTATGTACTTTATGCTTTTTAAATCATGAAATTCAATTTAACCCTCTAAAACTCCGTCAGCTTGGTGAGGTGAGGGTAAAAGATCTTTGAGTTTGAGTAGTTCCTCAAAGACCTCGGTTGACTTCTTTCTTCTTCTGAAAGCAGCCCATTTCATAAACTTTTTGCTATCAGGAATCCCTTCATCACCACTTAACATCCTGTAAACCTGCATTACAACAATTTACAAACAACATCAAATTTGTTTCACCCATTTTTTGCAAGTAATGTTGTAAGGAATAGGGACGAAAATTGCAGAAATCACTATACTTAGGGACGAAAGACGTAATTTATTATTATGCAAAATGTTACCTACCCTACCTGACTCATTTGTGGACGTTCAGTTGGACAGTCGTTGATGCATTGAGAAGCAATCCATAGCATGTCGCTCAGCTGCTCCAACTCACACTCACCATCAAGATGTGGATCAACAAGTTTCTCAATGTGTTTATTATGTATTAAAGGTCTAGCCTGTAACAAAAAAGAAAAATTAATAATCATTTATTTATTTCACCTGCATTTTAACCCAATAAAAAAATAAATACAATGTGAATACATACCCACATAACGAGACTCTTCTGTGCCTCATCCAAAGCGGGGCGTCCAGTTATGATCTCTAACAGAAGGACTCCATAAGCATACACATCAGTTTTCTCATCCACCAACCCATTCATGAAAACCTCTGGAGCAAGGTACCTGTAGTTACTTGCTTAATACACAACCTTCAACTTATATAAACAAATTTTTTTATAAAAATTCATTAATTAAATAATATATAATTTTATATACCCAAATGTCCCTTCAAACTGTGACACGTTCAGGTGAGTCCATTGATCTGGAAGCCATTTCGCCAGCCCAAAATCAGCAATCTATAACAGATAAAACGAATACAAGTTTGTGAGTAAATCACACAAAAAAAAAAAAAATTCCAAATTAAATAATAAAGTCAGAAGGATTACACGAGGTTGAAAATCCTCAGAAAGCAAAATATTAGCTGCCTTGATATCTCTATGAATGATTCTTCTTTGACAACCTTCATGAAGATAAGAAAGCCCAGATGCAGTGCCCAATGCAATATTATATCTAATACTCCAGTCAAGTTTCTCTTTATGACCTGAAATGGTTCTAAAACAACTTATCATCAAATGATATTATTAAACAAACATAATGAAAAAATGTAATTCAAAAACTAACCAGAAAGAAGAGAAGCTAAGCTCCCATGGTGTGATAAAGGAAGAACAAGGTACATCCCCCCCTCAATTCCATACCCAATAACATTAGAAATATTTTGGTGGTTTACATGAACAAGAATTCCAAGTTCAGATAAAAAATCTGATGTCATCTCTTCTTGTGTACCTCTGATTAATCTTTTCACTGCTATAATTTGTCCATTTTGTAAATGACCCTTGTACACTTCAGAATAACCTCCTTCTCCAATTAAGTTTTCTGTAAAAATATCATGAAAAAGTGTGTGTTAACCAAAATAGGAATTTGTTTTCATTATATATATATATATATATATATATATATATATATATATATATATATATATATATATATATATATAGACAGAGAGAGAGAAGTTACAAACTACAAACCATGACTAAAGTTGTCAGTTGCATCTTTGAGTTCTGAAAGTGAGTAAATTGTCCATGAAGCTTCAAAACAATACAAATTGGGATCAAAACTGGTGGGAATTTCTGACATGCTTTGAGTGTGTTTCCTACTCGGTTTTTTCTTGGTTCTTTTAATGGAAGGTAGGCTAGGGAGGCAAGGATTGAATGAAAGCAAGCTTGCTGAGGGCCCTTTTGTTAATTTTCTTAACAATCCACCACACCATTGTTGGGGATGACTTTTTGGATCAATTTGAGATACTAAATCTAAAATCCCAAATCTGAAAGATGATGAGCTTGAAGTTGAAGCAACAATCGCCTTAGATGATGCTGGTTCAGATTCACATTTCTCCTCAGTTTCCTCCACTGTTGACTTATCACAATCACAATTCTCCTCATCCTTATCTACAAAGCTAAATTTTAGCAATTAGTGTTATAGAAAATGCAGTGATCAATGGAGGAATCTTTTTATACCTTCAGCAGAAAGAGAAACTGTAGAATTAGAGGGAAGAAGTTTCTGATTTTCTACTGCAGATGTAACAGCTTCATTCTTTTCGTCTTCGGCCATTTCTTACTGAAAATCAACATGATAAAAGCATATTTAAAATTGAATATGAGGTCAAGTGACAGAACACGTTGTGAAGCTTCATGTTTGCATGTAAGATGAACAAATCAACAGACATCATTCGCTATATATTCAGAATAAACTCTATATGTATCCTATCGAACATAACCTAAATCATAAAATGCGAGATTGACCAATTAGAAGATGATGAAAACACGATAATTCTAATGAGGGTTTTCAATGATGATGAAATCGAATTGAACAGACGCTCGATTAACGAAGAAAAACACACGGAATTTCTTCTGCGATAACAAAAGCTGGTTAATTAAATTAGGATTTATAGAAGAGAGATATATTGAGAAATCTGAAGAAATGCGTATGAAGATTTAGAACGATACAAGACGCAGAACCCTCCATCTGACGATGGACAGAAAAAAGAGAGAGACAGAGATCGGGGATATGAAGGAGACATGGTGAAAATGAAATAGTGGTAGCCATGGGAGCTGTGTTTTGTTTACATATTTCAATGGATTTCCATGCCCCAAAGAAGCCACCCTTCCCGCCTCGTGAACATATTCACAAAATCGCCCATCAAGTATTTCTCAATATTCAATTTCAGTCTTCTAACAATTTTGTTTTACATTTAGGTCTCGATCCCTAAAGAGGTGTTACAAGTTCTTGTTAGAAGGTTTACAAATTGAGTTGACAACTTATGATCATGAGTCATATTGTTCCCGGAGGATTTTAATCGCAATAAAAAGCACTTAAAGAAGTCAAAACCACCCTTACCTTTTTTTTTTTTTTTTTTTTATTTTAATTTTAACTACTTTAACTTATATATAAGTTTTAAAACAAACCCTTATATATTTTATTTCTTTTTAAAATCTAATAACTTAATTATTTATTTGAAATTTATAAATAAAAATATATGTTGATAATCTTAAAATTTATACCATTGACGGGAATTTATATTTTTTTATATTTCTTAATTATGTGTATTTTGTTAATTCATTAAAATATAAAGATCAAATAATTATAAATTTTAAAAAACTATCCGAGTAATAAAAATCTTTAAATAATGTTGATTAAAAATGTTCTATTTTATTATTTTATTTTTAGTGTTGGTTTAAATGTAAATCCATTTTCAACAAATTTTGTTTTTTTAATAATTATTAATGATATATTTTAACATTTTAAATTTATAATTTTAATGAACGATCAATTTATGATATTAGAGTAAATTATCAAAATCGTATTTATGGTTTGGTCAAAATTATACGTTTGGTCTTTAATTTTTTTTTTTTCATTTGAATCGTCCCTATGATTTGATTTTACTGCGTTTTTCGTCATTTACATACGTAGAGTTACAAACCAAATGTGCAATTTTGACCAAACCATAGAACGTGCAATTTTAACTAAAACACTGAGATAATTTTAGTAATTTACTATTTTTATTGTTACAAAAAACAATCAAGACCTGTTAAGTTAAATTTAGTAAGGAAGTTACTAAATCGCATTGTTTGCAACTTCGATTTGTGAACCTGTTGCTTACAAAATTACTCATGGGTACTCAAAGAAGAAACATTTCAGAAAAACTCATCTCGATTTAAACCATGACCCACCAACTCAAGATCAACCAAATAAAGAGCTGTCAACTCAATATCCTTATAGACGTAGTATTTCTACTTATACGCATGATTATATACGGTCTAATTTCTTTGATCTAAACTAGAAACCGTAGGCACAACACATACTTGTTTTGAGAACCTTCAATGTTCAATTCAATCTTTAACCAGGAACAATCGATTCATACATAACTCATACTTCAACCAAGAACAAGTAACGTATAATTCAAATATACTTGTGACTGAAATTTCAAATGAATTTACAAGTGTATAAACTTTTTTTCGAAAAAAAATCTAAAACAAATGGTTGTCGGGTTCTCATAAATATATGGGTTCTAAAAAAATCCTAACCCTATATATTGGAAATATCCAAAAAAAAAGTCTCAATATTTTGGGTAAGTTTGTATTTAATCTCAACATTTTTTTTAAACAGAAAAGTCTCGAATTAATTAATTTTATACGATAATATGTCATTTATGTTGAAAATATAAAGATTGTTTCATTAATTTGAGCAAAAATAAAATGATCAAGACTTTTCTGTTCAAAAAAATAAAAATTAAGATTAAAATAAATGGCACTTTATCGGTAAATTTTCATATATATATATATATATATATATATATATATATATATATATATATATATATATATATATATATATATATATATATATATATATATATATATATATATATAATTTAATATATAATTGTTTAATAGGTTGATATAATATGTTTGAATAGTGTGTTATTTCAATTTTGGTTTTAACACTTTCAGGAGAAAATTTCGGGCCTAACTGAGATTAGTGCAACAAATGATTTATAATCCCAGAGTCTATGAGGGTATCTCCAACTCACTCCCAAACTCCATTTCTTCCCCCATTCTTCTCCAACTCTATCCCATTTTCACCTCTATTTTTGGAGATATGAATAGTATTCCCCCATATATGGGGGAATATTATTCATATCTCCAAAAATGGAGGTGAAGTTTGGTTGTCAACTTTAGTCCCTCTCATTTTTATTTTATACATTTCTAGTTTATTTTATCTACCAAAAATAATTTAAATACAGTATTTAATATTTATAATATAATATTATAT